CTCAGAGTAAATAAAATTATTAAATGAGAAAGTATATTAATATTTACACTGAGGCAGAGCTACTCTTTGAAGTTAACAGTTTTCTGACTCAAGTGGTGTTAATAAACAGATCCCAAATAGGAGATAGAAATTAGTACCTTTATTTGTCTTCAGGCCATTGGTATACAATGTAGATTACACAAATATAAACATAAAGGTTTGCAGTCATTAAAATTGAATTTCAGATGTTGCATTTGTTTCAAAATCTTCCTGCTCTTTTCTCTGCTGTTACACTCACAATTTTCCATACTGTGAAATGGTTTTCTTCTTGTTTTTCACTTCCCCTTTACATAACAACCGAGACTCTCTGGAATGTATGTTTGCAATATTTGATGCCTAACAATCTTAGGCAATGGTTTGTCATGGTGATGAAACACTTTTTAGTGTTTATGTGGTGGAAAGGCTTTCTGGAAGGAATAGGAAGAGAGACTGCAAATTTTAAACAAAGCTGTAATTAGCACAGTGACAGAGTCCAAAGGGGTGCATGATTAGAGTGAACCATAACTGAAATCCAGCTGTTTATGTAACTTACCCAATTCAAGATGTTTTCTGTCTGTCTGGGCCTTTAGGTTGCTCTACTAGTCAAACAACTGGTATATCTTGTAAAATTTTAATCCTCAAGGAAACCCATTTCTTGGCTTTTTATTTAGAGGATAATGGCTGGATATAAGTTTAAATTACTTCTGTGCTTTTAGGAAAACTAGGCTGTCTATCCTCTTTTCCAAAAGAGCCAACACCTTTAGAGGCTGTCCATGTATTTTGAAGTCTCTTCCTTTGTTGTGTGTTAATTTTTTCCCTTGAGTATTTGCTATTTTTACAGGTGCTTTTGGGTAGTTCTCTAGACCACATCCCTGCCCTGGTCCCACTTTCTCTTTGCAAGGCTGAGAAAGCACTTGGGGGAAGAACTGGATGAGATTTGTTCCTTCCCTTCAGTTACCTGTGATGAAGAACTTGGCTGAATTTGATGTCATGCATAATGTTCTTTGTGCTGATTGTTTCTTCTCATGTGTTCTGCTCTGGCGTGTGTACTTGAAGTTAGTCCTGCAAATATTTTTCTGAAATGTGTCACTCAGATCTGCCAGCTGAGCCTTCCAAGCACAGAACTCCTCCAGTTTTAATGTTTTGTGATTTAATTTTAGAAGTGTTAACAGTTCTGCCTCTTTTATTTGAAGATGCTTGAAAAATCTGTCGAATTTGCCCATTTTTCTTTAAGATTTCAATTGCAAATATCACTGGGTGATGTGATCCAGGCAAGTGTGGTTTGGGTCTTAGGAAGAACAACATTTGACACGTGCTTAGACTGCAGGCTGAGAGATTTAGGCTGGACTCAGCCATCCTTTTCCTTGGAAAAGCACTTACACTGGGGCTTAGATCTGGGTTTAGATTTGCCCAAGGTTTCCTGTTCTGTGGGCAAATGATATTTATACAGGGCGACAGCAGAGCATGGAAAACTGGAATTGTCCTCTCCTGGAGAGCCTGTAGGAGAGCAGAACATCCAGCTCAGGGGATGGGTGTCCCTTGGACACTTGCAGAGTGTCTGATGCCACCTCATTTCCCAATCCAGAAGCAGCAATGTCACCACGGGACCCTTGCTGTAAGGAGCAGGAGAGTTGCACAGGTATGGACTAAAGATGGTGTAGAAAAGCAAAAATTAAACATTAAAAGTGGCATTTCTTTGTAAGCTTGGTCCTGATGCTGATCAAATACTACTTGTTCTGCCACAGGCAAACTCCAAGTGGAGTGAGTCCTTCAGTTTATTTACACAGATGTACAAGGAAGACGTGTATGTACACAAGCAAGAAATTTTATACATTTTGTTTAGTCCTGTTTTAAATTTTTGCTTTCTGGCAGTTTTCTGGAGAAAGGGTTGCTTCTTACTGTTTATTGCAGGGTAAAAATTGTTATATCCTAATAAATACGTATTTTCAGGTTATAGTTGCTACTTGCATGTGCAAATATGAGAGATTGACATTTTTTTTAGTACGATTTGTGGCATTCAATTCATTTGCTCTGATCTCAATTTTCAAGGTCTGTACGTACAAAAATAAGGTATTTCTAATTAGTTAACTTGCACTTAATATTTATTTGACCTCTTTGAGTAGAAACTTTTAATTCATTAAAAAAAAACCTCAAAACCAGTGCTTTTAGTTAGGTTTGCCCAAGGAATTCAAAGTGTGAGTATGTATTAAAAAGGTTAACAAGATATCTTCTGAACAAAATTCCCTTTGTAGGTAAGGAAAGCATTCATCATTCAGTGTATCAGAAGCTGTCTCTGATGTCCTTTAGGTGTGAAGGATGACAGTCACTAACACTGGTTATAATTGTTGGTTGGAGGAAGAAAACACTTCCTTATCCACTAGAAGCTATCAAGTTGTTAAAATGAATTATGCAAACCAAAAGAAAGAGTTTTTTCTTTAGTCCTAGAAGAGGTGATTGCTGTGAAAAGCTGCTTTTATCACCTCAATCCTGTTTTCAGGTTGTCTTCTAAATTCTAAAGGACTGAATTCTGTAGGACTTTTAAATGCAGTTTGCCTTGAAATCAAACAAAACTTGGCTTAACATGGCTTCAGCATTCTTTTTGATTATTCTACTACTAATGCTAAGCCTAGGCCTTAGTAAGCACCTTTATAAAAGGAAATGCTTTGGAGTAACTGTGAGTTATTTTAAGGGTTGAATCAGGTTTCAAAATTAGGTGTGTTAGATTTCAGTCACATGCGTTTATTCAAAACAAAACTTTAGAGGAAACTGGAAACTGTGACAGAGTAGACCAATACCAGTAAGTGATTTTTATTGAGGCCGTTAAAGGGTTTTTTTTAGCCTGTTTTGGACTGATGAGACAAGAGAGAAATAATATCAAGGTGCCTTGCAGAGTTTGAGCTGTCTGTGGCTTTTCATCCGCTCTCCACCAAAGCATTTTATTTACTGTTTTAGCAAGTATACAGCCAAGCTAACTTGGCACTCCCTTGTACTTTTTCATCTTTTAGTTGAAGCAGATTAAATGGTCAAAACAAACCAAAAATCCCTAATCCTGTGGAAAACCTGTCTGAGAAATCAGATGATAACTGGTGCTGGGGAAGGCACAAAGGAAGGACTGCTCCTTTTGGTGGCCATCATCTGGGACAGCATTGGCCAGAGTTGTAGAACTGCCCTGCCTGCAGCAGTTGTGCCTGCCCTCCTTCCCTAAACCTCATTAGTCAGTAAATCACTGTAAGTGTGTTCTGTAGTCTCAGGGGTTAAGTATTTGGAGAGATGTGATCCGAGTATTGCAGAGAAATTAATTAATTCACAGTTATTGCCAAGATACTTTAAGGAAGTAACGACTTAGCTCTGTTCATTACAGGGAGGGGAATTAATTGGGGGTGATAGTCTGGTTAGAGGTCATATGCCCTTTTATTTGCTTGAAAAGCATGTCCAGACATGAAGGTTAAGGTCATAATAGTGTTGCCATGTTCCCAACTGTTCAATTCCTGGGACTTTCAAATAAATTCCACTGAGGTGAAGCAACAACTTGGGAGGAACATTGGTGCTGAACTTAATTTGAACGTGGTCAGGTTGAGGTAACCCACCATTCTGTGTACCACTAATCCAAAATTACTTTGTTTTCTGGTGAGGAAGGAACAGAAACCTCTATTAAATATTGAAATAAGAGATTTATTCTAAGTGGAAGTCCTGTGTGGATGTGAGCTGTGAAACAACAAAAGAGTAGCACCTGCAGGCAGAAGGAACAACCTGTCACAGCATGTAGCTTCATCTTGTAGCCAGGTATTGGAATGAAGAGCTTATCACAGGGAAAGTACAGGCACAGGGAAAGCCTGATGTCTGCCACCAGACACCCAAAAGGGTTTTTATCTACATGAAGGAGTTGCCTTCATGACAAAAAAAGGGAGAGGCATGAGTCTGACTGGAAAACGTGACTGGAAAAGCTTTGTTTGCTCACTTTCCCCTCCCAGCAAATTGCCTGGGAGAGGATCATGCACAGTGGTGCATCATTCCTGTTATCTCCCAGTGTGACTCACTGAGCCATACATAGCAGCACTTCTTTTGAGGAGATTTCTTACTCAGAGCAAGCTGGATGTGGAAACAAAGGCTCGGCTGTCAGACTTTTAATGTCACTTTTGCATTAGAATTCCTTGCGTGACACATAAAAATGTCTAAAAATGGCTTAACTAGCAGTGCCTGTCTGCATTAAACAGGTTTTGTCAGGTTAAAAATCCTCATTAGTCTCCTACTGGTTGGATGCTCTTATTTTCATATTATTTATCTATTTTTGGGCAACGAGAATATTTGTTGATTGCACTAGAAAATTATTGGGTATTTCAGTATTTGGATTGCTGGTAATGCAGTGTAGCAGGTGTCTTTCAGAGCATGCTTTAGGCTTTTTTATTTTGTGTTTATTTCTCCCCTTTATTGCCCAATCATAGCCCAAATTAATTCTCCGTGACTTCTTTCTATTCTCTTTTAGTTGTAAAGTAACTGGTTTTGACATCCAAGTATGGCTTGTAGTATTGATTCCTTTTAAGATTCCTCTGTCCTCCTTTTAGAAAAATTGGTTTTCTGGAATGCCAACAGCATCATCCCTCCATATTGTGCATTAATTTAGTACCTTGTACTTCTTTTCTTGGCAAGAAAGGCCAGCCAAAGCTTTCTTCAAGGTTTCAGTGCTTGCTGCTGGAGCAGCTTCTCCAGCCTTATCCCCAGATGAACTCCAGCCTGAGCTCAGGATGTGTGAGCTCAAAAATCTTGTGTTTTTCTGGTGCTGTTGCCAGTGGCACTTTTGTTCCCTGTTTGTTCCTGTAGTAGAGCACTGTGCTGTTTATTTATGTTGCATGTTTTTTGACTCAGCTCCCAAGATTTTTAAGTATGCACTGGAAATCCAGGAGTTCTTCCCCATGTTTTGTGATGTGGATAATGTATTAACGAAGTTGTGTTATTAAAAGAAATATTCCTGTGTTCTGTTGCAGGTTTTGGGATTTGAAGTGGATACGGTGAACTCTGTCCAGTTTTCAAACCACACAGGTAAAATTTTACAGATCTACTCTACAGTCACTGAACTCACCCAGCATGGGGCTCACCTCATCCCATGGTAGTGGAGAGGACATTGCTCTTATGCTTCCACTCACATTTTCACAATATAGGATGGAAATGTAATTTTCATGTTTTGGTTCAAGTCTCTCAGAAGCCTGAATATGGGAGTAGGGCATTGGATGGATGTGGTAATGTCCCCTTCTGCCCTTCAGAGTGTGAGTTTCTTCTGTTAGGCAGTGAACTAATTAAGTCAGATAGTGAAATAACACAAATACAGCCATTTACACAACAGGCATGTGAATAAGAGAGTCTTGGAAATGTTTTTCTGTGAATTATGGCTCTGTGAGAGTCATAGTCACATTATCAAATCAAACATCAGAAAATAGAGAGGTAGATGCAGTGTTTCCTCACTGTGTGCTCATCTAGGTACTACCAAGTATCCCAAAATCTCATTTTGGTGGGAAGAAGGGTGTTAATATATCTAAGTGTATTTTTATTTAAGCTCTAAGCCTGAAGGCAATGCATTCACTTAATATGTTCAGACTTCCTAATACTCACAGTGCTAGAGGACTTTATTTTTTAAAAGAAAGCTGAAACTTATATTTATTTTAGCAATACCTTTCACCCATAAAGGAGCTCCAAGTGACTTGCTATTTTTGGATCACTGGAGGCACACATGCTGTCTTAGTGGTGGCAGATTTTTTGAGAGGAGAACTACTCTAGATAAAGAAAATCTATAGGTGTCTTCAGAAAATAATTCTGCAAATTCTGGCTTTAGCATCTTGGAAAAGAGCAAAAGTTGTTTCTGACAAAGAAAAAAGAAGGCAAAAGTTGAGGTACTTTTCTAGTATCTCTACAGGTGCAGCTCTATTAATAAACTACTAATTTTTGGAACAGAGATCAGACTTAATCTGTTCATGCAGCTTTCAAAAGGTTGTAAAATAACTATCATGGAGGGAATTTAGTGTCACCTTGGGAAGAAAAAATTAATGTTTCAAAGGTGGTTTTTAAAGCTATCTCTGCTTGTTGAAGGGCACAAAAAAGGTAATAATTAAACACAGGAACGAGGCCTTTTGTGGCTTAGGCAAAAATCTGTTTATTTTGCTTGTACCCTTTGGCACAGTACAAAGGCTCTCTTGTGTTTTTCAAAGATACTTAGGTGTGACTTCTGTTTATTTAAAGAATGTAGTTTTGGAGTTTGGGATTTTCTGTTGCTTTGTTTCCATAGCTGGGTAAAACTGTTGCAATCTTCCAGAAATTAAGCAATTTTTTCATGTCATATTTTTCAGTGCTTGAAATGCATGAGTACATGTTGTTTGTTGGCTTTCTGTTTCAAGATGAAATCAGCTTTACAGGGCATTGCAAGAGCTTAATAGAGGTTTTATTGACCATAAACTGAATGTGTCTGAAAGTGGGAAAGTTACATTACCAGTAGGGTGACCAGGTTCTTAAAACAAAAAAAGAGAGAAGATTTTAAATTTGTTTTTAATAGTGTCTCAGCCAAGGAAAGATTACCAATGTTTCATTCAAGGTTTGGTAGCCAGTGGAAGGAACACTAAATTAGTGAATTCTCATGCCACATGAAGACTGAAAGGAGCATCCCAAACCCAAAAATCTCTCAAATATCATAAGTCTTTAAAATACTGGAACTTTTTTTTTTTTTTTTTTTGCTAAATCTGTTTCAAAATTCCAAAGTTTGCCACACAGTCTCATGGTTTTGGGAAGCAGAGCTTGTGTCTGGCACTGTCCTGCAATACACAGGCACTGTGTGATGGGTGAATGGGTGAAGGTAACTTATTTTCCTATAAAAACCAAATTTTACAAGGACCATTTCTGTCATCATCATTAAAGCTGGAGGACAAACTCCCCATTCAAAATCTAGCTGTGAACTTTAGTTTCTGAAAGAATGCCAGAGGAACACAGGTGGAAGAATGTGTGGGGTTTGGATGTGTTATACTTTCTTTCCTTCTTCCCCTGTTTTTTAAATTTGGAATGAGCAGCAAATAAAATGCAGAAAGAATTTATGACTAACAGGCTTTGGTGAATCATTATTGCTCTTTTTTTGCCCTATCTACTAGTTAGTAAGATACCACAGGCCTCTTTCTGCTGACTCCTGCTCAGAAGATGAAGCTTTCTTTAGTTTCTGATGATCCTGAAATTTGGAAAATGTGCTTTGAATCGGTGCCCTGGGAGAACAGTGTGTCATGTTGCTTCGTGAGGAACTTCAGTGATTAGAGTGACTCACACTTGAGTGGCATCATGCTTCACATACAAATAAAAGAAGCTGCCATGCAGCCTATTAAGACTGTGCTCTTTATTCTATATTAATATACTGTTTGCAGCAGCATCACCTCATATGATGTACAAAAAATAAAAATCTAGATTTATTTTTAATTGTATAATTAAATTTTGGGGGTGTCTTTTTAATTCTTCAGTGATTTCCAGTTCTGTTTCTCATTGCTAGGTTAATTTTAAGCAATAATGTGCTTACTCTGCCATCAAAATCCTACCTTTGAAACAGCTCTGGAACAAATAGCCTGGGCTTTTTTCTATTACTTTTCCTTTTATTCTTGAGCATGTTTGACTTCCACTTAGTGGGTGTGTAGTAGGTGGCTGGGTTGGCTGGTAGGTCTAACACATGAGAAATTACAATTATACCTTGGTGGGATTGTGCACAGCCTGCCCACCCAGGTGATTCACTCACCCCTGTGTGTGCAGGGCACAAAGAAAAGATCTCCACTTGTGCCTGACACTGGTAACATTTTACTCCCACTCTGTGACCAGCTATAAAAAACTTAATTTCTGGTTTTGTGGCAGGCCTCCTGCTAGCTACAGGTGAGTCGTGTTCAGACCAGGTTGTCTGAGTGTGCAATGTGAATTTTGTGACACAGCTGGGCCCAGATTGCCTGTTCATCATGAGCCTTAAACACTACAACTTTCTTCCTTTTTGCCATGTGAAATTCTTTGTTACTGGAGCCACTTGGAATAGTTCCTCCACAGGAGAAACTCAAACCTCAGAACAGAATGTTCTGGGTTGGAAAACGAAGGAATCTTACATGCTTTGCTATACTAAAATGGTAGCTTGTTTTTCTTTTACTGTATTGGTCAGTTGGTTTTTTTGGTTTTGTTTTTGTTTTTTTTTTCTTCTGATATGTCTGGTACTTTGATTTTCTTTCATCCTTGTTTCTGAAAGTAATTAAGAAGATTATAAATACATTCCGAAGGAAAAAAAAAAAGCAGAGGAAGGCAAGTATGTAAATCCATCTTGGGGGAAGTATTAGCTGCCTCTCTTGGTTGTAGCTTTTATTATTATATTTATTTTTCATACAAATGAACCAGGATATTTCCTTGGATACTGGTGGGTATGTTCATCATTTTAGTGGCATGAGGCATTTTATCTTACTTATCTTTCTTGTTTATCATTGCCTTTTCTACTAAAAGCAAATAGATAGCATGTAATTGCAATAAAAGATTGTAACACAGGCAGAAGGGATATAAGGTTATTTAAGTGTTTATGTTCATCTGTGTGTTTAAAATTATTTCAGACCTGGGAGACCAAGGCAGTCTGAGCCAATGGGGTTTTGAAGAGCTGTGTCATGATTTGCAGTGTTCTCTCTGCTCTCTGACCAGCACTGAGGGGAATTATGTGGTGGTTTTGTACCCAAAACAAGGAAGTCTCATCTTTCTTCCTTTTTGCCTTTTCCCTTTCAAGACACTCCCTCTTCCTGAGACCCCATCCTCCAGTTCATGAAACCCTTTTTGAACATGAGTAACTGCCTTTTTCTTCTATCTTTCTGCTTTTTGGTGTTCTATTCCACCAGAAAAGCAGGATAAATGCAGGGTCATGGGATTTGCCCCTTCTGTTTGTCATGTTACATGAAATTACCCTGGGGAAAGGGCATGGGGGGGGATTCTCTTGTTGCTGCCAGTTTTGATTTGGTTTGATTATTACATGAACATCATTCAATTCCTAGTGACATCACAGTTCTGTGCAGCTCCAGTGAAGGCATTCCCTTTTTTTTTAATGTCTCAACATCTGAGGCTTCCCTGAGAGCTTCCCTAGGGCTTTGTTTTTAACTCTGGCTGTTGTGTAGTTAGACTTCAGGTTGTATTACAGGTCACCAGGTAATTAAAAGGATCATCAAGTTACCTGTGGAAGTCATTGCTGCATGGTTCAGACAACGTCCCTCCTCCATGTGGGTGACACCAACTCCAGAAATAAGCTGGGCTGCTGCCTAAAGTTGACTTTTTGTATTTATTTCTCTCTCTCAGTGGAGGATCAGTGTAACATGAACCCTGTGCACTGACCATTTAAGACAGCTGGACATAGGAAGGTGAACTTTTGCTTAAGTAGTGAATTTACATGGTCTTTGTAGGCATGGCTCCTGAAAGTATCCAGGTTGCCTGGGCCATCTATCATAGTTATTTTTATGGCCATGTGTAAGATAAATGTCAGCATTTTCTGCCTTGATTCTGGGTGAAAAGTGCACCCAGTTTCCTTGGTGGCCACAATGGAAGGACTCTGATGTGTCCCTTTACTGGCTTTTCAGTGCTACAGAGGCTGGAGGAGAGAACAGATTATTTCTGTGTGATGCTGAAGATGTGACAGAACAAATATCTGCATTTGTGTTAAATAAACCAAACCTTGGATTTAGTGCACTCAGGGGTTCTTCATACCCTTGGGGCTGGCCCTGTGCTAAGGTGGGCAAGTGTTGCAATGAAACCACAGAAATCCCTTATTTTGTCCCTTTCTTCACAGAGACTGTGAGCAGCATTTTCCTGGGAGGGAGTGGTGGTGGCTGATGTGTCAGGACCCCAGGCAGCTGGCAGCAAATTGTGTTTTAGAGGCTTGGCCTTTGTGAGCTGAGGAGAGCAAAATGATCCATCTGCTCACCATACACTGGGTCTGTTTGCATTCACCAGGAGGAAAACTGAAAAATGTGCTTATCCCAGGCTCTAGACACCTTTTGGCAGTCACTCTAATAAGTCAGTTTAGTGTGATAATCAAAGCCAACAGTTTTCATCACAGAATTTTCTAACTGCAAGAGCAGAAGTTAAACAAAATACCATTGCCTCTACACAGGGGAGGTATGGGAGATGATACCTCACTTAACCTTTCACTTTTCCTAATTCCAGTTAATAAAAAGATAAGCATTTTAACAAACTGTGAATTATGGAACTTGAAAGAATTAAATTGTGGATCCTGGAGGAAGCCCCATTCTTACATACAAAGGAGTGATTGGTGCATTTAGAGGGGCAGGCTTTCATGACAAGGTGCAAGATGCATTTTTCAACAAATCTTTAGATTCTGTTAAGGGAGATATTTTTTTATTTTCCTTGAAATTGGCTGCTGTGCACCTTGGAAATCAGTTGAGTTTATCCCAAGTAACTTCCACCTTCCATCTGCTTCTCTCAGCTGAGCATAGTTGCTTGCAATTCTTAGAGATGAGAGTGTATGGACATTATTTGTCTGTTTGTAGTGTTTTTCTGCTACTCATTTCCTCCTCCAGGATCCTCAGCACTGAAGCTGTGCTATTTTTGGAAGAAAGTCTGTTAGGTGACCCTGTAGATTTAAAGACCATCCATGGCAGTGCTCTGCTGTGGTCACTTTGTTTGTGACATGCAGGTCCCATTGGATGCTTTATCTGATGGGTGCAGGCCTGTGTCCAGACAGATCTATGAGCCTGTTAAGATTGTCATCTAACTGCCAATATTTCCTTTTATATATCTATATATATAGTATAACAAAAATAGGTTATACTGACACCCTCCTTTAGTGAAGGCTAAAACATATGTTTTTCCTCCTCCACACAGGAAAGGGATAGTTGCAAAAGCTCCATGGGAAGCCTTGCAGGAGCTTGTGTGTGCTCAGCTTGATTTGCTGGTGAATAGACACTCTCAGACTGCAGTGTAGTCACTCCAGTTCCTTTGGGAGGCAGAGGTGCTAAGGAGAAGTAGAGCACATAACCTGTTCTTGCTGACAGCACCTTTCATTCAGCAACAGCATTTCACAGGAGGGGAGGTGAAATTGCTTCCTGTGCTGATATTGGATGTGGTCCCTCCACGTGTATCATCTGTGTGATCTGAAAGAGAAAATCCATCTTTTGAAAGATGACCTGGTGTTTTCTTTGCAGGCTATGCCCACTGGAAGGGTCAGGTGTTGAATTCAGATGAGCTTCATGAACTTTATGAAGGACTGAAGCTGAACAAGGTCAACCAGTACGATTATGTGCTCACAGGTAAGGAGAGCTTGTTCCCTGGGGTTCCCAGCAGATATAAACAGGGTTCTGCAAAAATGTAAAACATATCCCTCCTTGCTTCAAGCCAAGCAATTAAAATTTCAGCTGTATGTTATAGTCTGAACTGGCTCGTGCTGTTTAGTTTGGGACAGCCAGAGTTCTGCAGCAGGGAGGTTGTAACTGGGTAGGTAAATTGATCCTCTTGTATCATTTACAGACTTGTACAGGCCAGGCATGTACAGGCTCACTTAATGTTTTGGGAGTGCCTCTATTGGAACAATGGATGTGGAATGTCAGAGAATTATTTAAAAATGTATTTAAGAAGACATGAGTTTAACCCTTTCTCCCAAGTCTGCAGTACTAGCACATCTGTAGCAGCATGATTTTATAAACAGTTGTCTTGATTTTTTTTTTTATGTCCTTGATTTTTTTCACTTGATCTTTAAGGCTTAGTAGTTTGGACAGTGAGCAAAGTATGAGTAGAGTTGGGTTTTGGTTTTGACTGTCCTATATATTGATTTTTTCCTCTTGTATAGGTCATCTGAGTGAATGCAGTTCTGCAGTGTTTTCTTGTGCTTGTACTATGTACTAAGTCTTTATAAATAGAGGCAAAGAACTTCTTGCAGAATACTTCAAAGAAAGGAGAGATTCTACAAGAAGTTTTTAATAAGAATTTCTTCTCACCCAATTCCTGCTTCTCAAAAGTAGGTTACTGATCAGATTTCAGCTCAGTAAGAGCTGTGCATCTGGTTTGGATAACAGTATCAATTTCTTACAGCAATGAACAGGGACTTTTTAAAGGTAAGCAGAAATACATCACCAGAATTTTGATTGATTTCATGGCTTCCACATGTAGGAATGTTCTTTATACACAGGGAAAATTGGAAATTTTAAGTGCTTGGGTTATAAATCCAAAGCAGTCATTCTGGCTTAAAGGGTGTGGCATGTCCAAAGAGTTATTTTCTGGGTTTTGTCAAGGAATATCTCCAAAATAAAGGAAACTGAAAGCAAATAGACTGAACTAAGGTTACGAAAATAATTTTGGCATAAATGGGTTCTTTTTTATTGAGAAATAGATAAACAACCTTTCTTTCCTGGAAGGAACTCACACAGAGCACATTTCCAGGAAAAGCACACTGTATTGTAGGAATTTTCAGGAGATGTTAGTGTGCAAAACCTATAAATGATGTTTGAATATTCTTCTAGCAGAAATGTTCCTTTTTTATTTCACTTCCAACTCTTGGAAAAGACCTCTACTCCTTTCTTATCACTGGCAAAATAGATGTAAGAGATTAAAAATTATAGAAGGAAAATAGAAATCTTCAGCAAAAACGAATTTGGGAGAAAAAGGGATTATTTATTAATAACAGTCTTTTAAAATAGGATTTTTGTGTGTTGTTCAGATTTGTTTTAAAATCTCATTTGCTGCAGCCATTTTCAGCATGAACGAAAAGAAGGCATAGGTAGAAAGCAGTAATTTCTGAACATCTAATAACACTTTTTGTGTTTAGTCTTCAGCTGCACTGTGGCTGAATTTAAAATCCTTTTTTTTTTCATTCAGGGCCAAAAGTCAGATTTTTCTCTTCAAACAGACATTCACTATAGTGCACAACTACTTTGTACCTCAAAGAACCTGGATATGATTATTTAAACACTGAAAAGCAATTTATCAGCAGGTGGGATTTGACTGGTAATTGTCTGATGACTGTAGATATCTCAGCTGAGATTAAAATTATTATCTTTAGGCCAGTTATACAAAGTAACACTCCGTGGACACTTTGTGACAGTTTTTTGTAGATATTCTTGTATTTGTTTAATTTACAGCAGGACACTCAAGCTAAGAAATAAATTGCAGTTTAGTATAATTGTTTTTAACATCTCTATCAGGGATGTTAATCAAACTCAGTATTATTTTCCAGCCCGTCTGCCATCAGAGGTCATTTAATAAAAATCTTTGCTTGACTCTTTTGACTGATTGTCAGTATTTCATGGATAAAATCCAGCATTTTAGCAAAAAAATCTTTTCCACTTCTCTGCAGCACCCAAGAACTGATCAATTTTTCAAGATTTAAAAAAAAAATCTCCAAAATCTACTTTTCTAATGTAATTTAAAATATTTTATTAGAGTGGACATTT